GTGAGTTGAGCTTTCAGAAGCTCAAGACTGCTTTGTCTACAAGTCCACAGTTGGTGTTGCCTACTGGTTCAGGGTCTTACACTGTGTGTTGTGATGCATCACGTATTGGACTTGGCGTAGTGTTGATGCAAGACGGTAAGGTGATTGCCTACGCGTCTCGACAGTTGAAGGTTCATGAGAAGAATTACCTTGTTCATGACTTAGAGTTGGCAGTTATTGTTCTTGCATTGAAGATTTGGAGGCATTATCTCTATGGCGTGTCGTGTGAGGCTTTCACAGATCATCGGAGCCTGCAGCACTTGTTTAAGCAAAAGGATCTAAATTTGAGGTAGTGGAGGTGGTTAGAGCTGTTAAAATTCTATGATATCACCATTTTGTACCATCCCGGGAAGGCCAATGTGGTAGCCGATGCCTTGAGTAGAAAGGCTATGAGTATGGGTAGCCTTGCATATATTCCAATTGGTGAGAGACCGCTAGCATCAAATGTTCAGGTTTTGGCCAATTAGTTCATAAGGTTAGATATTTCGGAGTCTAGCCGGGTTCTTGCTTGCATGATTTCTCGGTCTTCTTTGCATGAGCGCATCAGAGATCGTCAGTATGACGACCCTTATTTGCTTGTCCTTAAGGACACGATGCAGCATGGTGATGGGTTGTTGCGATGCAGGGTCGGATTTGTGTGCCCAATGTGGATGGGCTGTGTGAGTTGATTCTTGAAGAGGCCCATAGTGCGTGGTATTTCATTTATCTGGGTGCCGCCAAAATGTAGCAGGATTTGAGACAACACTATTATTGGAGAAGAATGAAGAAAGATATAGTGGGGTATGTGGCTCGGTGTTTGAATTATCAGTAGGTTAAATATGAGCATCAAAGTCCTGGCGATTTACTTCAGAGACTTGAGATTCCCGAGTGGAAGTGGGAGCGTGTTACCATGGATTTCGTTATTGGGCTCCTACGAACTTTGAAGAAATTTTACGTAGTATGGGTCATTTTGGATAGGTTGACCAAGTTGGCGCATTTCATTCTGGTGGCAGTTACCTATTCTTCGGAGTAGCTGGCTCAAATTTATATCTGGGAGATTGTTCGTCTTCACCGCGTGCTAGTATCTATTATCTCTGATCGAGGCACACAATTCACTTCACATTTCTGAAGAGCTGTGCAACGGGATTTAAGTACGCGAGTTGAGTACAACATTTCACCTCCAGACGGATGGGCAGTCCAAACACACCATTCAGATCCCGGAGGACATGTTACGCGCCTGTGTTATGGATTTTGGGGATTCTTGGGATCCATTCTTATCGCTTGCGGAGTTTTCCTATAACAACAACTACCAATAAAGTTTTCAGATGGCTCCTTATGGGGCCTTTTATGGGAGGAGATGACGTTCTCCAGTTGGTTGGTTTGAGCCGGGAGAGGCTAGGTTGTTGGGCACTGATTTCATTCGGGATGCCTTGGACAAGTCAAGCTGATTTAGGATCGAATTCGTATAGCCCGGTCTAGGCAGAAGATTTACGCTGATCGGAGGGCTCGTGATGTAGCATTCATAGTGGGAGAGAGGGTTTTGCTATGAGTTGGTGAGGTGGCCCATAGACTTGCATTGCCACCCAGCTTATCTGCAGTTCACTCGGTATCCCATGTTTTTATGATCCGAAAGTATCATGGTGATCCGTCCCATGTATTAGATTCCATCTTAGTCCAATTAGACAAGGATTTGACTTATGAGGAGGAGTCGGTGGCTATTCTAGCACGGTAGGTCCGGAAGTTGAGGTCTAAGAGTTACCCTTATGTTAGAGTGCAGTGGAGAGGTCAGCCGATCGAGGCATCTACGTGAGAGTCCTAGTCCGATATGCGGAGTAGATACCCACAGCTTTTTACTAGCCCAGGTACCTATCCATGTCCGCTCGAGGACGAACGTTACTTTTAGAGGTAGAGAATATGATGACCCGATAGATCATTTTGAGTACTAGCCCTTATTTGAGTGTTCTGAGACATCTATTAGCTTTATTTAGTGTTTCTCGATTTACATGCACAATCCATATCTTTTTCCGGAAAGATTTTATGTAAAACTTTGAAGAAAATATGATTTTTGGATTTAAAAGTAATTTGAGTTGACTACGGTCAACATTTTGTGTAAACAATTCCGAATTGGTAGTTTGATGATCCCAGTGGGTCCGTATCATAATTTTGTACTTGGGCATATGCCTGAAATTCAATTCGGTACTACCTAACTTGATTTAACTTGTTTTGTCGAAAACTAGTAATTTGAAGGTTTAAAGATTTTTTTCCGGTTTGGCCGTAGGTTGACTTTATGGCTACCGGGTTCGGATTTTGGTTCCGGGACTTGGTATATGTCCATTTTGCTAATTGAAACCTGTCTATAAAATTTGGTGCAAAACGGAATTGGTTTGATAGGATTCGAATGCTTGGTTGTGATTTTAGAAGTTCTTGAGTTTTCTTTGACATTTCATGTATTTTGACATCTGATTCAAAGCTCTAGCTATTAGTTTGGTGTTTTGATCATGTGAGAGAGTTCGTATGATGTTATTACACTTGTGTGCATATTTGATTTGGAGCCCGAGGGGCTCGGGTGAGTTTGGGATAGGCTACATACTATTTTGAACTTAGAAAATTTCTAGTTTCAGCTGTCTACTAGTGTCTGGTGTTTTGTGCTTCGCGATCGCGAAGGGCAAATGGGGCTGGGGAGGGATTTCGTCTACGCGAATGCGAGGTCATGATCGCGAACGCAAAGTAACAGGGGGTTTACCCTTTGCGAACACGGCCATGCCCTAGAGGGGGAGGCTAGGCCAGATGTTATGCTCTTCCTACTAGGATGGAGGTGGTTGCATCCGACTCATTTATCACAGGTATTGTTTCGATTTGTCGTAGAGATGTATCAGTCTTATTTGATCTAGGCTCTACTTATTCCTATGTATCATCTTACTTTGCTCCATATTTGGGTACATCCCGTGATTCCTCGAGTTCTCCTATCTATGTGTCCACGCCAGTGGGAGATTCTATTATTACTGACTATGTGTATCAGTCGTGTTTAGTTGTTCTTGGTGGTTTTGAGATAAGAGCTGACCTATTGTTGCTCAGTATGGTAGATTTTGATGTTATTTTGGGCATGGACTGGTTGTTGCCCTATCATGCTATTCTTGATTATCATGCCAAGACGGTGACATTGGCTATGCCAGGTTTGCCGCAGTTGGTGTGGAGGGGTAGCTTGGATTATGTTCCTAGCAGGGTGGTGTCTTTCTTAAGGCACATTGGATGGTTGAGAAAGGGTGTGAGGCATATCTAGCCTTCGTGAGAGATGTCAGTGTTGATTCTCCTACCGTTGAGTCAGTTCTGGTAGATAGAGATTATCCATATGTATATCTGGCGGATCTTCCGGGCATACCGCCCGACAGGGATATCGATTTTGGTATTGATTTTTTACCGGGAACTCAGCCCATTTCTATTCCACCATATCGTATGGCCCCAGCAGAGTTGAAGGAGTTAAAGGAGCAGTTGCAAGAGTTGCTTGAGAAGGGCTTCATTTGGCCTAGTGTGTCACCTTGGGGTGCTTCGGTCTTGTTTGTAAATAAGAAGGATGGTTCTATGCGCATGTGTATTGATTACCGACAGTTGAACAAGGTTACAGTGAAGAACATGTATCCATTGCCACATATTGATGACCTATTTGATTAGTTACAGGGTGCCAGAGTGTTCTTAAAGATTGATTGGCTGTCAGGCTATCATCAACTGAAGATTCGGGAGCCGGATATTCCGAAGACTGTCTTCAGGACTCGGTATGGTCATTAAGAGTTCCTTGTGATGTCATTTGGGCTGACCAATGCCCCAGCAACATTCATGCACTTGATGAACAATGTATTCCAGCCCTATCTTGACTCATTCGTCATTATGTTTATAGATGACATCTTGGTGTACTCCCAGAGCTGGGAGGACCATGAGCAGCACCTGAGGACCGTGCTCCAGACCTAGAGAGAAAAGAAGTTGTATGCAAAATATTCAAAGTGCGAATTCTGGTTGGATTCAGTGGCATTTTTGGGTCATGTAGTGTCGAGTGAGGGGATCAAGGTAGATCCGAAAAAGATTGAAGTAGTGAAAACTTGACCCAGACCGTGTTCAGCTACTGAGATCCGGAGTTTTCTTGGTTTGGTAGGGTATTACCGTTAATTCATAGAGGGTTTCTCATCTATTGCTGCACCTATAGAAGGGTGCTCCTTTCAGGTGGACCGAGGAGTGTGAGGAGAGCTTTCAAAATCTCAAGACTACTTGTTGGTATTGCCTACGGGCTCAGGGTCTTACACTGTGTATTGCGATGTGTCACGTGTTGTCCTCGGTGCGGTGTTGATGCAAGACGGTAGGGTGATTGCCTACGCTTCTAGACAGTTGAAGGTACATGAGAATAACTATCCTATCCACGACCTTGAGTTAGCAGCTATTGTTCATGCCTTGAAGATTTGGCGGCACTATTTGTACGGTATCCCTTGTGAGGTCTATACCGACCACCGGAGTCTACAACATTTGTTCAAATAGAAGGATCTTAACTTGCGATAGCGGAGATGGTTAGTGTTGCTTAAGGACTATGATATTACCATTCTGTATCATCCCTGGAAGGCCAATATGGTGGTCAATGCCTTGAGTCGTACGGAGGAGAGCTTAGGCAGTTTAGCATATCTACCGCTAGTAGACAGGCCATTAGCATTGGATGTTCAGGCCTTGGCCAACCAGTTTGTTAGATTGGATGTTTCGGAGCCGAGTCGAGTTTTGGGGATCACTACAAGAATATTGACTTTTAACAACCATTTCTTAACGAAGGGACATGAGTCCGGTCGTTATAAATATACTTTTGGCTACCAAAATGTTTTTCTGTCGTTAAATCACTATTTTTACTTCAGCAATAACAGGAGAATAATATTCGGTCGCTAAATAGTATAATATACCTTCGTTAATACTAAAACAAAATTAAACCCAAAAAGAATGCATGTTTCCCTTAATATTTTCCTGCCCACCCCTCTAAATAAATAAATAATAAAGAAAAAAAAGCCTCGACTCAAACAGAACTACTTAGCAATAGAAACTGCCAAGACTTCATCTCGCAGACTCAAAATTCTCATTCTCTAAGGCGTATATTTGTTTGAAATTTGTGGATACATTGTAGTGCTTGGTGACATACTTTTTCTACTTTCAGTTTTTTGTAATTTGATATTCTCTCATGCTTTCTCTTTATTTCTTATGTGTAGAATCTTTAAAATAAGCTTCAAAATTTTACTGGGCAACATAGGAATAAGCTCAAGATTCTGTCGCCACAAGTTAAGAAACGTAGAGATATTCTAAGAGAGCTTCAGGTGCGTTCTTGGTTCAATTTCGAACTTCGTCTCTGTTCTTCTTGCCTTTCTTCTGATGTTTAATTTGTGAAGATTCATCTGTCATGGTTATATTAAATTGGTGAAGGATTGTTGTGATAACTTAGCCCTAATTGTTTTGGGATCTATTGGAGATTGTACTTTTATAATTGTCTATGGAATTGCTCACCAGCTGTTCGACTAATTTCCTGAATGAATATTGGAGCCTTAGAATTAGCATCTTTCATCCCCACTGCTAAATAAACTCCAAGAACTTTTTTCAGTCAATAGATTTTGCAATACGTGTTTTAATTTTCAGTAATACATATTTGAATAAAGAAATATAATATCTTTTAAAAAATTTGATTAACTACAAAATATTGTACCATATAGCAGCATAATTGCCTTGTAGAGGCAACATAAAAAAATGATAGATACCAGAAAAGTAGAGTAACATGAGCACTGAAAAGGGAAATAACAATGGAATATAACAGTGAAAGATCCTAAGATCCACCTTCTTAGAAATAGTCAAATACTATAGCATTTGAAATACTACCACAGTTAGCCAATTTCAATAAGTAATAATTTTTGAGCTAGAAAACTAACACCTTGAAAAGTTTCTACGAAAGCTAAATAAGGTAAGAGCACAACAAGTAATAGCCAAATAATAAGATGCAACTGCAATGCAAGCTTTACATTCATTTTAAGACTCTAGTAATCATGGTTAGTCTATTTTTCAGTGGATGTCTTCTTATAAGAAAGTACAGTGAGCAAATCAAACATATTTAGCAACAAAAAGAATAGTTATAGGGATCATCAAATCGAAAAAGCTTTAGTCGTCATGAGCATGTTGCAAATAATTTTTTGTTAATTCCTTTTAATTGGGATTATTTTTCGACTTTCTTCTAATTCTAGAGGTGTTGGAAAATACATTTTGAGGTTGATAAAAGGGTTTTTTGAAGCTGCTGATTGTGGTACTTCATTATCTGAGGAGACTAATGACCAGTGAGAAAGGACAATCTTAAATTTATTTTTTGAATATATTTTATTCTGCTTTTATCATTGAATGACCATTGCACTACTTAGAGGAAGGTATAGTGTTTATACTATTACCCTGTTCTCAGGGTAATAGTATCTTGGCAGATTCTGCCTCTGAGCAGATTGAATTTATTGCTCTTTCGCAAAGGACAGAAGACCCAAAGTATCAACAGAAGGTATGTGACAATAGAATTTCTCAAAAACTATAACTTCTTGATAGCTACTAGTAAATAAAACTACAGTTTTAAATTTTGGCATGGCAGACAATTGATTAAGTTACACTTACTTGAAATCAATGTTCTAGTGACCGAATGGCATATGTTCCTATTTCAGGTGGAGATTGTTATCTTAGAACTTAATAGAACTTTTTCAGATGATGGTTTGCTTCCAATACACATTAATCCGGAGAGAGGGATTAATGCCTTCCACTGTTTATGGTCATTTTCGAATATGTAGATCAAATAGAACTTTTTACATTCAGTTTAAATATAAAAGAATACCTGAAAGTTTAAAATTTGACTGGGAAATGCTCGACTCTTTTTATGTACTAGTTATGGTATCCATTAAAATATTAGCTAGTTATGGTTAGTCTTCATTTCGATCTTTCTTCTGGTTCAATATTCATTGTTCCTGAAATACTCTTGTCTGATAAATTGTAATTGCTTTCTGTGGGAAGTTTCAGTCAATTTAGTTCTCTTTTCGAATATATAGATGATTCCTATAAAATTGTGCTTGCTTTCTTTGTGGTCAATCTTTATTTTGTGGGAAAGTAAAAAGGAAGAAAAAGTAGAAGCTTATAGGAGTATTTTTTATTAGACTGATAAGAATTTATTATTTTAACAGATAAAAAAACTGAAGTCTGAAGAACCTGTCCTTGAAAAAAGTGCAGAGTAAGTAGCAACTGAAAATGCTAAAGAACAAGTTGAACCAGAAGAGGAGCCTATTTTCTCTTTTGTTAGGAGTTATTTAACAGATATTTCATTTGTAATGCTACAATCTATTTTCTGTTTTGTTAGGAGTTGACAAGTTTATTGTCCATTTTGGATAGGTATATTTTTGGTAGTGTTTTGCTTTTGTTCCTTGTAATTAACTGTGAAATTTATAGGAATATTGATTATTTCTTATGTTTCTGGAGCAACTGTGTGTATATAGGTTTTTATTATATCATTATAGTAATAGTTAATAGAAAATTAACGAATGTAAAAGCCTGTTACTAAAAGCACTAACATTAGTTGGATTTGTTGTCATCATTATAGGTTTTTAACGATCAGAAAAATAATTAACGAAGGGAAAATTCAGTCGCTAAAAATAAGCTATGACGACGGGAGTTTTTGTTATCGCTAAAGGATCTTTAATGACCGGTTTGAGATCTGAACTTTTAACGTCGGACTTTTAACGACCGGTGACGACCAGTTTTTTTCCGGTTGCTATTGACTAATAGCGACCGATTTAGGACTTTTAACGACCGAATTTTCTTTCGTTAAAGGCTTTTTTTTCTTGTAGTGGATGACAGTGTGTTACGGTTCAGCACGGCGATGCCAAGGAGGTCATTATTGTGGATGACAGTGTGTTACGAATGTAGGGCAAGCTATGTGTGCCCAATATAGATGGTTTGCATGAGTTGACTTTTTAAGAGGCCCACAGTTCGTGTTACTCCATTCATCCGGGTGACGCTTAGATGTATCAGGACTTGAGGTAGCACTATTGGTGGATGAGGATGAAGAAAGACATAGTGGAGTATGTAGCTTGGTGCCTAAATTGTCAGCATGTGAAGTATGAGCATCAGCGGCCAGGTAGATTGCTTCAGTGGCTAGAGATTCCAGAGTGGAAATGGGAGCGGGTTACTATGGATTTTGTTGTTGGGAACCCACGGACTCAGAGGAAGTTCGATGCAATATGGGTGATTGTGGATAGGTTGACCAAGTTAGCTCATTTCATTCCAGTGGTGACTACTTATTCTTTAGAGCAGCTGGCTCAGATCTATATTCGCGAGATAGTCAGACTTCACGGCGTGCGGGTATCCATCATCTCTGATCGGGGTATGCAGTTTACATCGCGGTTCTGGAGGGTCGTTAGTGTAAGTTGGGAACATGGGTTGAGTTGAGTATAACATTTTACCCTGAGACGGACGGACAGTCCGAGCGCACTATTCAGATATTGGAGGATATTCTTCGTGCCTGTGTGATGGAATTTGGGGTTCTTGGGACCATTTCTTTCCGCTTGTGGAGTTTCCTACAACAACAGCTACCAGTCTAGAATTTAGATGGCTCCACATGAGGCCTTGTATGGGAGACAGTGTCGGTCTCCGGTGGGTTGGTTTGAGCTGGGTGAGGCTAGGCTATTGGGTACAGACTTGGTTTAGGATGCTTTGGAAAAGGTTAAATTGATTCAAGATCGGCTTCGCACAGCCCAATCTACACATAAAAGTTATGCGGATCGGGAGGTTTGCGATGTTGCATTCATGGTTGGGGAGCGGGTCTTGCTCCGGATTTCGCCCATCAAGGGTGTTATGAGGTTCGGAAAGAAGGGCAAGTTGAGCCCTAGGTATATCGGACCATTTGAGATTCTTGAGAGAATTGGAGATGTGGCCTACAGGCTTGCACAACCACCTAGTCTAGCTGCAGTTCATCAAGTATTCTATGTTTATATGCTCCAGACGTATCACAGCGATCCGTATCATGTGTTGAATTTCAGCTCAGCCTAGTTGGACAAGGATTTGTCTTATATTGAGCAGCCGGTGGCCATTTTGGACAAGCAGGTCTGAAAGTTGAGGTCGAAGAACACTGCTTCAGTAAAGGTTCAGTGGAGGGGTCAACCAGTCAAGGAGGCGACTTGGGAGACCGAGCATGATATGCATAGCCGTTACCCTCATTTTTTCACCACTTCAGGTATGTCTCTATACTCGTTCGAGGATGAATGTTTGTTTTAAGAGGGGGATGATATAACGATCCGGCCGGTAGTTTTGAGTATTTTAGCCCCGATGCCCTAATTATTGCCTCCTCTATCTTGTAATATGGTTATGTGTTTTGCCGGGGGTGTTTGGTTTTGGTTTCGGGCGAGTTTTGGAGTAGAATGGGACATATAGTCCCTAGGTTGGAGCTTTAAGTTGAAAGAGTTGACCGTAATTTAAATTTTATGTAGACGATTCGGGAATGGAGTTTTGAAGGTTCCAATAGCTCCGTATGGTGATTTTGGACTTAGGAGCGTGTCTAGATATCGATTTGGAGGTCCTTAGGTCAATTCAGCGTGAATTGGTGAAAGTTAGAAAATTTAAGGTTTGAAAGATTGAAAAGTTTGATCGGGAGTTGATTTTTTGATATCGGGGTCGGATCCCAATTCCGTAAGTTGGAATAGGTCCGTCATGTCATTTATGACTTGTGTGTAATGTTTGAAGTCAATCGATGTTGTTTTATATGATTTTTTTCCTTAAGTATGTCCATTATGTATTTTTGAACTTGTTGGTATATTCAGACGGGGTCCCGGGGGCCCCGGGTATGATTTAGATTGAATCCAGATCAATTTTGGACTTAGCCTCATTGCTTAAGTCCCAGGCCTGCTGGTGTCATCGCACTTGCGGAGGGATTGACTGTAGGTGCGGAAGGTGAAGCGCAGAAGCAAAAAGGAGAGCCTAGGGCTGGGCTCACAGGTGCGAACACCTGGGCGCAGGTGCGCCTCCGCAAAAGCGGAATTTGTGAAGGGCCTTTGGGCAGGACCGCAGATGAAGTAACTTCTCCGCAGATGTAGACTCGCAGGTGCGAGCCATTTGTCTGCACAAGCAAAACCCCTGGAGTTAAGTCGGAACCGCACATGCGATGGATTTTCCGTAGGTGCGACGTCACAGATGCGACTAAAGGCCCTCAAAAGCGAAATCGCTGGGCAAAAAAGGCCTATTTCGAGGGTTTGATTTCATAATCCATTTTTGGACCTGTAGAGCTCGATTTGTGGCAATATTTCGGGAGTTTTTCAAGAAAAAACATTAGGGGTAAGAAATCCTAACTCGGTTTTGGTTAAATTACACGAATCTATTGTTAATTTCATAATTTAATTAGTGATTTGAGTTGGAAATTTGAGGAAAAATTGTGAAAACTTCTTAGCCTAAAATTTAGGGATTTGAAAGGCGATTTGAGGTCGGATTTGAGTAATTCTTGTATGATTAGACTCATTATCAAATGGGTGTTCAGATTTTGTAATTTTTGTCGGGTTCCGAGACTTGGGCTCGAGTTGACTTTTTGAGTTGATTTTTTATTTTTTTGCAAAGATCGTAATTTTATTGTTTGAAATAGTTTCCTATAGTTTATATTTATCGTATGAAGTTGTTTTGGCTAGATTTGAGCCGTACAGAGTTGGATAATCGAGAGAAAGGCTCACTAGTGGATTGAGTTAGCGTGTTTCGAGGTAAGTGTGTTGCCTAACTTTTGCATGGAGGAATTACCCCTTAGGTAAGTGTGAAAGCTGTGTACGCTAGGTGACAAGTGTGTGCACGGGCTAAATGTTGAAATTTGCCTATTTTAGCTATGTAGATTCCTTTCATGCCGTAATTTAGTTACTTTAACATGTTAAAGTCATCATTTTTAGTCTATCTTTACATGCTCTACTTGTCTTATCTCTTATTTGTTAATTGCCCTACATGTTTAGTTGAAGTGCTGTTGTTTCCTCTATTCCTTATTATTTAACTATGAATTCTTTACTTGAGGTTGTTATTCTTGGAATAGCTTGTTGACAAAACCAATATTGAGTTATAAAGGTCGTGATTCACATTGAGGCAAAGTGTCAAGTTGTGAAATACTATTTTGTTGAGTTATTCACTTCTGGTAGTTATTGTTGAGACTCTTGTGTACATTGTGGCTGTTCCATGGGATCTTTATTGTGTGACCACTGTTATTTTTTATTTCTTTGGCAAGTTGTGATATTGGGCACTTGAGGTGCGATTTGTGTTACATTGTGATATTGATACGCATGCAGTGGTATAATATTTAGGGATTTAAATATATGCAGTGAGATAAGGTGGGCTTGATACACGTGGATAGTATGGGAACTACTAGAAATGATGCGGTGTGATAGGGTGGCTAAAACGCGAGATTCTATTTCGGGAAAATGATTTTTAAAAACTAAATGCAAGGCTCCCGAGGTGATATAAGAAAAGATTATAAATTATTCTTGTGATTTGAGACTACGAGGCGGTACCTCGGTAGTGACTCTTGTTGGTATTTCTCTATCGCTTCACTTGTCTTTGGTTGATTTGTTCCTTAGCATATCATTCCTTGTTTTCTCCGTGTTGCATTTTTTGCTTTAGTTTCGTGTAGCTAACCTTGATATGTTATTTGTTGTTTCAATTTTGTTGCTATTATTATTACACTGCCATACACTTGTACCGTTTTTCTTACTTATTCCAGTAGGGCCTTGACTTGACCTCGTCACTACTCTACCGAGATTAGGCTTGGCACTTACTGGGTACCATTGTGGTGTACTCATGCTACGCTTCCGCACATCTTTTTGTGTAGATCCAGGTACCTCCTATCAGCCCAGGTATTAGCGAAAGCTCAACTGCGGAGACTTCAAGGTGTACCTGTTGGCGTTCGCTGGCCTCAGAGTCCCCCTCTACCTAAATTTTTTTATTTCATTATCCTTTTATAGATATTGATGTATAGGATTATTTAGTACTACTAATTAGAGCTTGTGACTTGTATTCGCCGGGTCTTGGGAGTTGTATATGCTGAGTTGCAGAGTTTATTTTATGTAGTTGCTCAGTTTTGAGACTTTAATTATTATTTCAGTATATACTGCATGTTTTGTTAGGCTTACTTAGTCTTAAAGACTAGGTGCTATCAGACATCCTACGGAGGCAAATTGGGGTCGTGACAGTTGTTTAGATATTTTATGGTCATAAAAGATGTATCCTTAAGATGGTCTCATGTGTGCCTACTATCATCTCGTAACCTAGCATTTGCAAAGCTATTAGCCCAAATAATCCGATTAAGGGCACAATTTCCAAATTATCCTATAAAGGCTATCCGCCTTGATAATGCTGGAGAATTCTCATCTCAAACTTTTGATGATTATTGTCTATCAGTTGAGACAAAGTTGAACATCCTGTAGCTTATGTGATACTCAAAATGGCCTTGCA